TAGTTAATTATAACAAAGAAGAAAGGTTGAAGGAGTCAGACTCCACCCGTACTCTGTAACATAATTTGTCATACCTAAGTGCTGATTGAAGTTCAAAAGGCATCACCATGAATACTTTTCTCACTACGATGCTTAGATTGTTTAATCAATTTGTAATTTTGAATCTTATGGGGGATTGTTTGAGGGAGATTCAAAATTTCAAGAATCCCTTTCCTCCCTCTCTTGTTTTGTCTTTTCCTCTTCCCACTCTTGAGTGCATGGGAAGACTCTTTATCCCACATTGCTTGGGAAAGGAGTGGAAGTAGAGTATATTTATAGTTTTGTTCTCTCTATGGGTAAGGACCTATAGGAGGAGAGCACTATAGATATTCCATGCATGTGAGGGGGATTGGGGGTGCTTTTCACACGCGTGCGCCGAGACGAACTGGGCCGAGGCGTGGGCGAGGGTGTGGGTGCATATGCATGTACGCAATGCACCGAATCAGTGTTTTGTTTTAACTAGACTAAACCTTTTCATTTTAAAATGTGTTTCTTCGAATTCAGATTTAATTTTTAAATTAAAGCGTTTTCTCTTTTCGTGTCTCTTCCTCCTTGTGCCTCTTCGAACAGGTGCATTGTTCTGAAGAGCTCCTGTCCGAATGGACACCTCTGGTAAGTGAGTGCACGCCTACTAGTGGCCTGTGGGCTGTTTTATCTTGACGACCGATTTGCGATCACCCGACTGCACCATGGGGGCAAATGCAGAGGAGAGTGACCAAGTGGCATGACTCAACACTCATTCTCTCTGCAATTCCCAATTTCGAGATTCTGCAACAACAAACTCTTACGAGTTCCGATTTGAATAGCGATTACCAATAAGTTCCATTTTGCCTTCCTTATTATTTTATAACARGTGTTAATAGATTACCATTTTATCCTTTGCCTCAACTTTTTATGCCTTCATCTTGCTGCAGGTCAAGTTTGCTACGAATATGGTGTTCCTAGAGCAAATGAGGTTTCCTACTCACTTTTCCTACCCACACTCTACCCGCCATGAATTGAGAGATGTGTGTGACCGCAATTCACGGCAGGTAGAGAGTGGGTAGGAAAAGTGAGTAGTAAATCTGGAGTCTGGACTATCGTTGGAGAAGCCCCATTAGATGGTTAATTAAATTGTAGATTTTGAAATCCACCTGTTGCTTTTGGATATAAGGAGAGCCAAGATCACATACTCCATCACCTTTGTGGTAGGCATTAATAGCCCTGAGCAGTGGCTTCTCAGTTCTTCCCCCACCTACAACTTGTCCCATCATTGCATGGCACCAACTTGGCACAACCTTTTTGTACCAAAGGGAAGCTTGATTCTAGCTAGTGGTGTCGTTGTCAGGGTTATGACTTATAACGATAGCATAATCACCAAAAGACCTGGCGAAGACCCCTCAATCACCAACGTGGTCTTTGGAATTGCAAACCACAACCCCTTCAGGAATCGACCGGAGTGGAAACACATTGCCGACCACTAGATTGGCCTTCTGACTAYAGKAAACGAATTGACATGTCTACATACCTTTGGGCTTTGCCAGCTATGATAGGGGTTGGCTTTCTTTGAAGCGTATTGGCTCTATTTAGCGTAGTTGTTTCAATCTTTTATAGTGTTAGTATTTGTCAATTTAAAAAAAACAATAATAAAATATATTTTTTTATTGGGTTGACGCATAAGACGTATAGATCTATGAGAGTGTTTTAAAGGTTGAAGAGAAACTCCTATTTAGAGTGGGATTTTCAGTGTGGTAAGACTGAATTGAGATTAGTTTGGTGGGTAATTAATCTCAATCAGTAATAAGAATTATTAGAGTCCTGATCACCTCTGAATGGGGGTTATAAAAACCAATTAGTGGTTTTAGACCTATCACGATTGACCTCAAGATCCAGAGAGACCAGTGAACTCAAGAATTGATAAAAAAAGAAATGCAAAAGAGACATATTTAACAACAAAGGTCAAAACACAGAGTGGAATTCAAATAGGTATGCACATCTAAATCTGATTTCTTATTTTGTTTGACTCTTTGTCAATTAAATGAATTTCAAAGCTTGCAATTAGTACTTCGTCGTCTTCAACTTTAGGGTTACTTGAAGAATTTCTGGACCGCTAGGGGTCATGATTACGACAACTTTCATTCTCGCCGGTATTGTCGTTGGGGGATAACGAGAGATTCAAACTCCAAACTTCTCGATCTATAGCTACAACGTCGTCGTATCCTGAATTTTTTGGGGACGAAAAACATCCTCATCTTCAGGCTCCAAAATTTTCTACATTCTCTATAAATCAAGGTCTTGCAATGGTAGATTTTCACCTTAGACASTTGAAGAAAGTCTCCCAATTTTGCATTTTCTACATTTTTTCTATAATTTCTTTTGCAAAAATTCTGTATTTTTGCATTTTTGCATTTTTGCAATTTTGCAGCTTTTTATATTTTGCATTTTCTATAATTTTCTACAATTTTCCATTTTCTTATTTTTGACTGAATTTATATTGAATTTTTTTATCATTTGGTGTATTTTATGACTTTTTTTATCATTGAATGTATTTTCTATGATTTTAACTTTTTTAGTTATACATATTTTTTTGGCATTAGCTGAAATATATATATATATATATATATATATATATATATATTTGTTTTTTTATTATTTTTATGCATTTTGTGCAATTTATGATTTTGGATGAAATATATGTCTTTAATTTTTTTTATAACTTTATGTGTTTTCTCCAATTTTTATCATTTAATGTATTTCTAAAATTTCTATATTTTTTCTTGTTTCTTATGAAATTATGTTTTTCTTTAATTTTTTGTATTTTTTACAAGTGTTTTTCATTTTCTTGAAATTTCTTGCAATTTTCCTATATTTTTGTGTAATTTTTTATGTTTTTTTACAATTTATCTTTTATACTTTTATTTATTTTTTTTATTATTTTCTAAGTCTTTTTTACAATTTCCAATATTTTACACTAAGGCTATGTTTGGTTTGATGGAAAAGGTAGGGAAAGGAAAGGAAAGACAAGGAAACCAATACAAGGGTTGTAAAAGTTTCCTTACCTTTCCCTACCTTTTCTTTCAAACCAAACATAGCCTAAATGTATAAGATAGTTGGCAGTTAAGGACATTTTAGTCATAAAATGTTTTTTACATATTAGTCATAAAACTCCTCATTCATGGGGCAGTTTGGTCATTAAAATGGACAACTTCTGTCAATGAACACTAATGGTAGTTTAATGGATGGTGAATTTTGGAAAACAAAAGTTCACTGACATAAGACTCTTTGGACATTATGAAAAGTTGTGGTGAGTTTAAGAGAAATGCAGAGAACTCAGGATGAATTTTAGACAATTTCCCTTGAATATAAAATATCCCTTTAATAGTTGCTGAAATGTGATTGGTAATTCTAATTAACCCAGAAAATTGTCAAGTCTTATTTGGTGAAAAAATGGAGGAAGCTGAAAATAGGCTTAAAATCAACTTCCTGGAATTAGCACAGGTAGTCTCAGAAATCATTCAAATCAACGCAGCTCAATCACCATAGAAATCTTCCCACAGGTTCTAAGTGGGACGGCCAGGAAATTGTGTGAGCCTCGCCAACTTTTTCACCCATACATAGTGCAAGTTCATCCCATTTATAATCTGATTCAAATTCAAATCCGATCTGTTTAATGCCGGGTTAATTTTGACTGTTGGGCCCAACAGCGTAGACTGTTGAGACAGTTTCTGGGCTGGGCACGTTCTGGGCAGTTCACCTATTCATGCACATGCTTTGATATTTAGTCAAAATAAATTGAGATGTAATTACTAATTTACCCATTCTCACGGTGTGACATGGCATTTCCAGAAACTGATACTATTGGCCCCCAACAGCTAAAGTTTTTTCCCCATATTGTCATTGAAGAGGAGTTAGGATTAACTGAAGACAATAGCTGTTCGGTGGGCTATGGAACCAAATATTACACTTTCATACCAGTTTTAAAATAGTTGAGCCCACGATCATTTAATCTTTCACTTTGGCCCAAAATATTTTTTGACTGTTTGGGGGTGTTATCATTGATTCCACAGCACGATCATTCAATCTTTTACACTGACCTCACAGCGTGTCCTGACTGCACATCAGGAACATTCCTGTACTTATATTTATTATTCATGGGAAGATGTTCCCATTACAGGGTGGGATGTGGCTGTGAGGTCGGTCTAAGGTGTGCTCTGTGAAGAGTAGATCCCAATTCGATACACAGCCATCTAGATCAGCTAATCCGAATTAGTTGAAGAGGTGTAAAATCTATTCTTCTTTCCACTTATTATTATTATTATTGGTATAATAGATCAGCTCTGCTATTCTTTGTTCTACTATCATGCCCATTTTAAAATTTATACCACTTGTGCTGGTTGATTTTTCAGTTTTCCTTAACACTGTGTTTGTTTTGAAGGAAAAAGTAAAAAAAGGAAAGGTAAGAAACCTTTACAAACCTTGTATGAATTTCCCTACCTTTTCTTTCAAACCAAACATAACCTAAAACTCTGGGATGGGCCGAGGGTGCAATATACTGAATGGGGATTGCTTTTGGTCTAGTGCATTGAGTCGCGTTTGGGCCCAAGCCCTGCTTAATCCCAAAAGTATTTGTTCTTGGCCCCTACCTCAATTTCTTGCGCCAGTCCCATGTTCCTATTTTTAAAGAACCATAGGTCTATTACCTTTCATCTGAAACTGTAACAATGGCTGATTGGCTGTGACAAAAATCAGCTTAATCGGATTGCTTGCTTTTAATCATCTGATTTGTTCTTTTAGTTGTAGAGCTGCTTTCTCAAAGAAACTTTATTGGTTAGAGTGTGAATCTCAATTAGATATCAATTTTGCATTTATTTGTTTGTAGTTATGATTTGTACTTTTGTCTGATACAAAATTTGTATTTTTTTTATCACATTTGCACTTATTATTACATCTCAAAAACTAGAACAAAATTTGCACCACCTATCTTACTTTTCACAAACAGGCAAGGCAAAGTCAAATCTGAAGCAAAAATAATCAGGATTACACTTTATCTATTTGCACTCCCATGCATTTACAATAGTGATAGATCTGATCCATCTACCTCTCTCTCTCTCTCTTTCTTCTTTTCTTCTTTCCTTAGTTACTGCAGCACACAACTTGCAACTGAATCCCCAGGTCATTATTTATCTTCATTCAGTCAAAAACAGAGGCAATTAAGAGAACCAAATCAGTCATCCATCATTCTCTCTCTCCCCCCTTTATCTTCTTCTTCTCTCCTCTTCCCTCCCCTGTTCAGCTACAACCAGAAGAAACCCACGAATCCAAAGCCGCTACCCGCGGTCAAAAAGTTTGAAATTCCCAAGAATGCCTCTGAGCGCACAAGAAAGATTGCTGCCAAAAAGGAATGAAAAATAATTCTAGCAAAACCTTAATAAACCCAAATCTGTCATCTTAGATAGTAAGAAATCTGAGAATACCCTTTCTTCTCCTGTCAGTTATAGGACAAATCTCTCATTAATCTTAGTTTTGGCAGTTCAATTTGTATACATATTTTTTAACATAATAGTATTCTACAAATTACAACCAACGATGGCATCATCTTTTGTTTTTATTGAGTTTTCTTTTCTGGGCGAAATCCAAAATTTTAGGTAAAGATTTATAGTAGGGGATTTCATTTCTAAACCTTACACTCTTTAATTGAATTGGTGATTGGTGACTGCCAATCTATGAGCGCGAGAGCAAAAATATAAATAGGATTTGTGTTCGTGAATCCAAAAAACAAATATGAAATAAAATTAACAAGGCACCGTTAAGTTTTAACGTGTTCACCTTTTACTGGAGGTCGCTGGATAATGCGGCGACAGAGGTTGCCGCAGATGCACGTGACCGTGAAATTGAGCAATCAACCATCCCAAGTCAAGTTCAGTTAGTCCAGAGATCGATTTTTTATTCGAGGTTCAGGAAGAAAGAAAGAGAGGAACCAGACCATTCCCATCCAATTAAACGGATGGTTATCGATCAATCAAATCAAGCATTTAACTGCGAGACGGGATTTGCTCCTCACAAATGGGCGCCTCACACGCATATTTTATAACATCTCCCGTGAATATTGAAGGGCGGCTATTGATATATATATAGAGCGGGGTTTTTGACATTGTGAATGGTTATAAAAATGCAATGGAATTGACATTAGGCCTATCCGTACTTTTCCGAAAAAAGAATCAAGCACTGGCTAGCTGGCTCCAGTTCATTGTTTACATATATGATGCGATGGATGATGGATGATATACCCTTAACCTGTCCTGTCAGATTCGTCCGCGTGGAGATTCCTTTGACTCCAGCCATTAGATTTAGATATTTGATTACAGCTTCACTCTTAAATCTGAGATCACATCAGCGCAGATGTTCACAGTACTTGTCATCGGGAGATTTTCACTGTACACGGTAGGGATGTGTTATGGGGCGCCGATGAGCAGCAGCAGGGTATAAATCGTTATGAAATTTCTGTTGAGTTGCCCAAGACTAGACAAGCAATCCGAAACATCCGCACACAGACAGCATAGAGAGTTGTTCGTACCTTTTCCCCTCTGATTTCCCTTGTTTTCTTGTGGCAACTGGCAACTGGCAACTGGCAACGTGAGATCTGAGCTACTTCACTTCTCTCGTCCGTTTTCCTTGTTCGTTACAACAGCAGCGAACAGAGAGAGTTTTTGTCTGCAATGGCGAGTGGTGGCTACGGGGACACGAGTCAGAAGATCGATTATGTGTTCAAGGTCGTCCTCATCGGCGACTCGGCTGTTGGGAAATCTCAGATTCTTTCCCGCTTTGCTCGAAATGAGTTCAGCTTGGATTCCAAGGCCACCATCGGTGTCGAGTTTCAGACTAGAACCCTGGTAATCCAGCACAAGAGTGTCAAAGCTCAGATTTGGGACACAGCAGGACAAGAAAGGTAAAACAGAAACAAAGATCTCTCTCAGTTTCGTTTCTTCTCTTTTTCTTTTATACTCTCTTCTGGTGTCTTAGATCACTTCCTTGACTTTACGGAAATTTCTTCTCGAATTTTCGGTAGTTTTATTTTGTAGTTCGTTCTATTGTCCTTGTGCCTATTGAATTTGTAAAGTTTGTTGTTGATTTTGCTGCAACATATATTGGATTTCTTAGAGTATATTAACTGGTTAGGAGAATTCGATCTTTCTTTGAAGAGAGATCTGAGATATCTTAGGTGTCGACAATTTGATCTGAAGGTTGTTCCTTCCCCTGATTTGTGATCCAACAGTTCATTGACATATACTAAAGTGTAGCTAGTAGTTACTGATTATGGGTCTTTTGTATTCAAACTTTATATCTACTGTTTTCCTTGGTGCTTTGGAGCCTTGGTGTAATGTAATTTGTCCCCATGCTCATAGGAGAAAAATTGCAAAGATGTGGGGTTGCCTCTAGAATTCACTGTGAATATTAGAAAGGAGACATCTTTTATGGCTTTGAATGGCCAAAAACATAGTTCTTTTCTAAAGGGTCATTACCCAATRTTGGTCCTGGCTACCCGGAGTGAATTGGATTCAGCTGGATCAGGCTAAGCAAACTAGACTCACGTTAATAAGGTTGGGAACTCCAATTTGGGTTTAGGTCACAGATTGATCATTTCCTCCTTAGGTTTTAACATTGGGTAGGCTGCTAACCTATGTAGTGGGTGAGAATAGATTTGTCCATGTCAGATACGGGTTCAAATCAGCCCCCCACAACGTCCCACAGCACATCCCCGCCATGTATTGGGAACATCTCCTGATGATAATCCCAGAAATGATGATGACATCGGGAGATGTTTCCAATAGATGGTGGGGATGTGCTGTGGGACGTTGTGGGGGGCTGATTTGGTCTCGTCAGATACATGTCAACATGCTATGTCATCACAAATTCACAATGTTATAAAAGCACAAGGGGCAATTTGCACCTGAGCCCTGAGGTGCAAGGTGCAAGGCAAGGTGTGCGCATTTTTKAAGCAAGGCGCAAAAATACAAAATATGCCAAAAATTTTCAAAAAATGAAAAAAACAAAAAAAAAATATTAAACATTATACTAATTAAAAATATAAACTTAAACTTTAAGACAAATGTTTTAAAAAATTTATTATCTAAAATTAAAATACATAAACATAACATGTAAAACATATTCAAATGAATTTTTTAAAATAGAATCAAATAGATATAACATATTCTAGCATGTAAAACGTGCAATCTCCTTTTTCCCTCAATTGCATTACTTCAAATAGCCAATGTGATTTTATGGTCTTAAATTCTTAACCCCTACACACAAAAAAAAAATGATTTTATAATTTAATTGTCTTCAAGAAGATATTTTATTAGGACGAATGAATGAACAACAATAGCAAATAGGTTGGATGCCATTGGGCATGTCTAGCATTGTTTACCATTAAAGGAAACTTATTTCAGAATGTTATCAAGTTATTCCTTGAGAAACATAGTATTAATTCAATTTGGTGAGCATGTGATGTAGCACCAGTGAGCCTTATCTAGTTGTCTTAGTTTATAAACCCAATATTCTTGGTCCATCATCCACAACCCAGTTTTTTTATTCACAAACCTATTCGGATGCCCAGCCTGTGGCTCTTATGCAAGCCCATACAAAGCCTATTTCAGTAGGTCCAAAGCAAAAGTTACTAGAAGGGGAATATTCCAAAGCAGACTCCAAAGGGTAAGGTTAGGGTATTTTTGAAAGTATTGTACATGGGTGCTTGTTTTGATTAATGAAATTATACTTCACCTTTTCTCAAAAATAATCTCAGGCTGACAGGCAAGTTGAAGTCTGAGAGCTGCCATATTGTGCCAAAAAAAAATCGCCAAAAGTTGGGTCTGTATCCAGTCCACCCCTCCAAGACCTCAGATAGATGGGACATGGGTAATGGTCCTAGTGAAGTACTGAAGTGAGATTATGTGATTCCAATCTTCAATACCGAGTTTGGTGGGATTCCATTTCTAACTTGGTTTTAGGTAATATCACTGATTGTGTAATGGTAAAATTTCTGGCTGACAAGCATGAGAGTGCAGGTTTGAGTCTGAGAACAACTACTTTGTGCTAAAAATGCTAAAAGTTAGGTCCATATCCAGTCCATCCCTCTCTAATTCTTTTATTCCTTTATTCTTCACTGCAATTTGTTTCTTTTAATTTTGGTGAAATCACCATTAAAGCATTGCTTGGAAGCTTTACAGCCTGAGCAGCACAAACTGTTTCAGTCCATTCTCCTGTTGCAACCTCTCTGAGGATTCTGTGCCAATTTTAAGTTGTCAAAATTCTACGTGCTGTATCTGTTTCTTTTTAAAAGTTTGATCTAGGAAGAGAAGCCATGTTACAGTAACTAAATTATGAAATTATTATTTTTTTTTTGAGAAAAGGTAATGTAAATTTATTGATAGAAAAAACTAGTACAAAGGCCCCCCAACTAAACACCTTAGATGGGGAAACAGCCCAAACATACCATATATCCTAGTGGTTAGCTTAATTGAGTTTATCATTATTATTGTTGTTGTTGTTATTATTATTTATTGTTTGCTTTTATGTATATATAGTTATACATGCATTTAACACAAAAGCATATGCTTATACATGTTTCTATGATCTATCTATTTCAGCTCGCGTACTTTTAGCAATTTCAGTATCACCATTTTTTTGTATCTTTCAAATCCTTGGATTCAACACTTTGCCATTGGATTTGAACTTTGCTCAAATCAGCATTAATCCCAGTTATTTGGTCCCAGCTACACAAATCCTATCCCATAATGTTTTTTTTTTTAAGAATCATGTTTTCTGTCAATTAAGTCCTTGGTTCATTTCTTATCACTTCAATCTTACTCCTCACTGGTGCATTCATTGGTCATACATGCACATGGCAAAACTACGACTTTACCTTGTCCTCTTACCAATTGGGGCTATTTCTAAGTTATCCAGAATGCTTTCATTCATAATTCTATCCTTTCTAGTATTGCCCCTTGTCCGCCACATCTACATCATTTTGTGGAAATGTTTTTTGATTGCCCATTCTGCAAATAGATTACTAAAAATCTTAAATATTTCGATGTTTTACTTTTTGGTAAGACCACATGGTAATCTTGTACACCTGTGGTTGTAGTGTGGATAAGTAAGCTTTTGAACAGCATATCAAGGAATTATTGTGAACTTTTTAGGTTTCCTTACTATGCTATCTATTTGCTAGTTAATTTCCGTTTGTGAGCCTTATTTCCTGCATAAGGAACATGGTTATGTGCTGTTAAAGCACTTTTGCCATGATATTATCTTGGATACCTGTATATAATACAAGGACAATTACCTAATGCTATTCCTAGCTCTATACGGGGGTCTTGGGAGAGGTGAACTGGATACCGGCCTAACCTCTGGATATCAAGAAATGTCCTGCTTAGTCTACTGCCATATTATTGTTCACCTTAAAAGTTCATGGGGGTACCTAATTAACAGGCCTGACTCATGTACTCTTTTGCTCTGTGAAAGTTTGAGTGCCTTTTATGGACAACGGGATCTCCTTCAAGCAAAAACTCAGCACACACTGCAAGCATAGGCATCCAGCAGCACATTGGGAACATTTCCCTATGAATTTAACATACATGTATGGGAGATATTCCAAATGTGTGGATGGATGCAGTGTGCACAAACAAATGATAATCTTATTTCTTAGAATTCGTCAAGTAGACCAAGAGTATTTAAATATGTTAAAGAAAAAGGAAACTGCTCCTTGTTTTGGATAGCCATGGGCCTTGATAGAGCGAGCTTGCAAAACAAGATTTGTCTATCCAACCCCATATAGTTAGGATAATGCTTTGTTCACTCAAGTGTGTTTTAGATAATCATGAGTTTACTTCTTAATGTTATTATAGAGAAGGGGAAATCTCATGAAGAGATCCATTAGAAATCCACCAAATGGTTATAAACTTATGCCCTTTTCTCCTTTCTTTCCTTTGGGTGGACTTTTTAGTCATCCGGGCATTTAGATAATATCAATTACACSTGAAGGTGCTGGTAAATATAGCTTAGGATGGCAAGACAAACAGGTTACAGAAACATTCAGTTTGAATGCGTTAAGAATTATGGGCAAATTGGAGTCATTAATCCCAGAGTGTAAAATATTGCATTTAATATCACTGAGCTCTGAATGTTATTTGTTATTCAAAAGAACTTATTTTCTTTCCACCTTGGTCTATGATAGTGTACCATAACACGATACGTTCTTTTTTCTGCACTATTCATAGAATTTTTTACAATTATGAAACTGGCCAATTTTCTGATCATTCACACACTGCTGATGTCTTTTCATGAGCAGATACCGAGCTGTAACAAGTGCATATTACAGAGGTGCTGTTGGGGCAATGTTGGCTTATGACATAACTAAACGCCAAAGCTTTGATCATATACCTCGCTGGTTAGAAGAGCTGCGCGGTCATGCTGACAAGAATATTGTGATCATACTGATCGGAAACAAGTGTGATCTTGAGAATCAGCGGGCTGTCTCCACAGAGGATGCAAGAGAGTTTGCCGAGAAGGAAGGTCTGTTCTTTTTGGAGACATCAGCATTGGAAGCAACAAATGTTGAAACTGCCTTCTTGACTATTTTGACTGAGATTTTTAACATTGTGAACAAGAAGAACCTGGTTGCAGGTGAGGATCAAGGTAATGGCAATCCCGGATCTCTTTCTGGGAAGAAAATCATYATTCCTGGTCCGGCACAAGAGATTCCACCTAAGAGCAAGATGTGCTGTAAATCTTCTTGATCGAGGTTTGTGTTTATTCAATATTTGGTTCTATTTTTCTGCTAGTATCTCTCTGGCTGTCTTTGTATTTTCCTTGTAAATTTTGATTGCTGTAGTTGTATATTTGGAGGTACCGATTGATTATATATTTTAAAGGATGGGAGTTGGAATTTGGAAAGTTGCATTTAAACATGATTGAGGCTGGTTTATAGACTGCTTTTACTGGTCCGGATCTCCATGTAAAGGGGGATATGAAAGAGAGGCATTGTCAAACAACCCCCAAGGGTCTCCCATAATTTGTTCAATATAGAGACCCACCATTGAATAGGTCCCCTAGGGGATATTTATTGGGCTTTATCAGGTAATTATCATTTTATCTACTTGAAAGCGTGATTGCTGTTTTGATTTTTCAATTTATAAACTCAGGTGATTAAAATGCATGTAATAATTAGTACGTGCAACGATGATCCGCAGATCCAGAGGTTTTGTTTGGATGCAAATATGCAATGTGATCTTATTTGCACTGATGTAAAACCATGGTAGTGCAAATGTTTTCGATGCAAATTATTATTTTTATTTCAAAAATTATTTTATTTTGTTTAATTGTAGTACAAATGAAATAAAACAAGACCTGAAACAGAATAGAGTAAAACACAACAAAATTAAATCAGAATTTACATTCATTTGCACTCCAATAAATTGTGCTACTACAAATAAAATTGCACTATAACCAAACACAGCAGTAAATGACACCAGATCATGCTGAGCTTTTATCAGCTTAGGAGTGACAACCAACCGGGCCTTTAGATACTGTTTGCTTTTGCCGCTATTTTTAATTTTTTATCAACGTTTACTGCTGCTCACTGCCACGTAAATCAATTATTCAATTGGTGGTGGGTCGCATAGTTCTAATTCAATTATGGAGCAAGCTGCTTTCCAGGTAAAGTTCTGGCTGACTGGGGTCTCATTCAACAGTCAGGGATCCCGTTCCTGTAATGGAGAACTCACTTGGGTAATGCCAGAATGTGGGTTGGATTTTGTTCACTTCTTTATTTATTATATATTATTCTTTCCAAGTATTCGTGATAAACCTAATGATTAATAATAATAAAAGATTAAAAGAAGTTGCTTTTCTTATTGTAGTAGTAACTTCTTGAGATAGTCATTTACAGGAACGGACTTATTGTGCCCACGTGTGATATATGAAAAAAAAGATGTTATTACTTATTGTGCTTAAATCTTATTACTCTTTGGGACTACATAATCCGGTAGTAACGATGTTAATTTTTCCCATCTCCACCAAGTACCCGACCTCCCCGATCAGGTGGGGATGGGGATGGAGACTGCCGTAACGGAGACAGGGTGGGGTCGGGATTAATAAGTTTGGGGGTGGAATTATATATATATATATATTAAATGTATAATATTATTTATGTTATTTAAAATATTATTTATATTATATATATATATATCAAAATATATTTAAAATATTCTGTATTTTAATTTTTCCTTTATTTTAAATAAATGCCTTTTGAAAACAAACTTTTAATTAAAAAAATTTGGGGATTCAAGTCCCCGATGGAGAACCTATCTCCGTCAGGGACCAAGGATGCAAACTAATTTTTTTCCCGACGAGGATTGGGGTCAAAGACAAGGATTAATTTAAAACTTGGGGTCAAGACGGGGAGTATGATCCTCACCCTAGACCCAACCATTTCCATTCTTACCCGAGGGTCCTCACCAAGCCCATAAATATAATTCCAATAATTATGGTAATTATAAATGTAGTATCCAATATTTATGGGGTCATCCCCCAAGCCTATAAATATAATTCCAATAATCATGGTAATTATAGATGTAGTATCCAATACTTATGAAAATTATTAAAAATTATATTTATATTTATTGAAATAAATTTTCCAATGAAAAATTACTGATAATTTTTAATTATTAAAATTGTATTTATTAATATTTTAATTAATTATTACTTTTTAGTAATTATTGATTTAATGAATTTTCAAAAATTCTTGAAACTAAATTACCAAAATCAGTAATTTTCAGCAAGTAATTTTTAGTAATTACATTTTCCAACTTACCAAAATTATGAAAAATTATAGTTTAGGTGTTGATGTTTACTAAATAATATTCAATGATATCAATAATTATTGAAAATATAAAAAATATTTCACAAATTAATCTAACCACCCAAATTAATTTAACTAAGTAATTTAACCACATTTTTGGTTTTTAGATGGTCTATTGGGCATGCAATATAGATTAAGAAGTGTTTTAGGAGGAATTTTAGGTGAGATAATTTAGGAGACGTTGGCTAAGTGATTGAGAACATGAGAGAGAGAGAGAGAGAGAGAGAGAGACACTCTAATTAAGAAGAGAGGGCTGCCATGCGACTACATGGAAGAGCTGGAAAGGGGTAAAGATGAAAGAGGAGAGCGTTAAGGAGAAATGGGAGAAGGGGAATGGGAGGAGAGGGCTGCTTATGTGGCCTATGCCGCTATATAATATAGTATTATATGGGCATTTTGGGTTAATGACACTAGACCATGGTGTATATTTATGGGAGTTTAAAGTACTCAAGTGTCAATTTTCTAGTTTGAGGTACCTATCACTATCCCCCCAAGTATAAAATACCTATTTGTAATTTACCCTTTATTTATTTATTTGTTTTTTATTAAGGATGATCATTATTCATTCAATTTAAACCAAAAACTGAACTGAAATTTTCACTTTAGGTTAATTGGGCTCTAGTGTATTTCAGCTTTTCTTTGAGAGGTTCAGTAATTGATTTTGGTTTTCAGATTTTCAAATTCAGTCAGTTTTATTTTAATTCGTTTCAATTTGATTTTCCCTCTTAAAATTTAGATTGATTCGGTTTCAGTTTATTCACTTCAGTTTTTAACTGAAGTGAATAAACCAAATCCTCTGGTTTATTCAGTTTTTAACTGAATAAACCAAATGCTCACCCAGCAAGACTTTGTTATTTTAAATGGCATAAAGATACAGAGGAGAGAATATGTAAGTCTACATGTGTCATATGTGGAGAAAAGTGAAAATAAGAAATGACAGATTCTTATTTTGGTAACAGTTATAAAGAGAACCGATTATAAAAAAAAAAAAAGAAGTTAGAAAGAGAATAGGGATCACAGAGGATTTAAAGGGAAAAAACATAACTTAAAATTGGCCTTCTATAACGCCCTTTGCACCCTTTTACCTAATTCATACAATATAATATAGTTTAAGCTGCACAACGCATAAAACCAATAAGATGATCAATGACTGTTCTGTGTTGATTTCCTTTATTTCATGTCTAATAAAATATCCGTTCAAACAGAGAAATTTAGACTACCACAGTACTTATGGTTCACATGCATAAGTTTATACAAATGAATAAACACAAAATAACAACACTTCAAAGGAATTCAGAATTACGGAACTGGAAAGCAAACATTACTTTATGTAGAAAAGAGGGAAAAAAACTAATGTCTATGATTTGAACTTTATAAACGCACTAAAGTATACGAATTGAACATGGATTTAGAAAAGAAACGAAGAACCACAGGTATACTAAATATGATTTACATGCTAGAAGATTAAAAACAATGTGCAGACACAAAGTTGACAGAACACATTGACCACATTTCAAGGAATCAAGAGTGAAAGAATAAAAATTTCTTTTCATATTACCTCTGGCATGCATCACATTTATGAAGTAAGCGGTCAAAGCAGTAAACTTCCTTAAATCTACTTTTAGCCACATGGTGGAACAACCATGTTAATGCCATTGAACTGGACATATTTAAAGACCAAAGAGCTTAAAGATTTGACAATGAACACTACTCAATATAACCTTGCACTTGGAACATTAGAAAGACCTGCTAGATTTTGAAGTAACAAGAGGAGCTTTTCCACCAAAATACATTATTCAGTAACAGGAGGAACTTTTTCACAGCATCTACCAAATCACATGTTTTTTCTAGTCTATTTTGAGATCATAATGTCTCAATTTTACTTTTCCCTTTTATGCTCGACAAACTTGGGTTTAGGGGCAAGGAGGGTGAAGGTGGAATTTGTTCCCAAGTCAGTGGGAACTACACCAGCTGAACCAGCCAATATCTCCATCTCTCAATTTTGTTCTCACCTACCCTTGGGTAGAAATCACTGATTGCAGATTTAGTCGAATTTCTTGTGAAAGGAAAGAGGAGGAAGATAAAGGTTTCAGCAGTAGAGAAGAAAAGGGAAGGAGAAAATAGTAGGAAGTCAACCAGGATTCTTTGATTAACCCTAGCCGCCAACCCCTCATTATATTTATACTTAACTTAAATGTTGAGATATCACAAGGATGTCCTTAGTAGGGCAGCTACCAATGTAGCTGAACAGTCACAACTTAAAAACATAAACTAATGGGCATAAAGCCCAACAACTTCCTAACTAAATAACTTAAAATAAGAATAAAAACAACTAGGCCCAACTCAACACTCCCCCTCAAGTTGGGAATGTGCGTAGATCATGCTCCAGCTTGTTCTTTGCAACACCTTTTGTGAGAACATCAGCGAGCTGCAGATCAAAAGCAATGTATGGAAGACAAACTTCTCCAAAAGTTACTCTTTCTCTGATAAAATGTCTATCAACTTCAATGTGCTTAATTCAGTTATGCTGGACTAGGTTATGGCAGTGTTAATTGTTGCCTGGTTATCACAATATAACATCATAGGTTCTTTTGCCTGTACACCAATTTCTTTTAATAGGGAACGGATCCAGAGAAGTTCTGAAACTCCATGTGCCATGGCCCTGTATTCAGCTTCACCACTTGATCTTGCCACCCAATGTTTGTTTCTTACTCTTCCACGAGACAAGGTTACCCCCAACAAGGGTGCACATTCTTGAAGTTGATCTCTTGTCATCAGGGCATCTTGCCCAATCTGCATTTGTATAAGCCTCTAGTTTCAACTGTCCATGATTAGTAAACAATATGCCTATGCCCGAGTGTCCCTTCAGATAAGCAAGAATCCTGTCAACTGCCTCCCAATGCTGGACTCGTGGAGCATGCATGTATTGACTTACCACATTTACTGCATAGGAAATGTCTGGTCTTGTCATACACAAGTATAATAGCCGACCCACGTCTCTGATATCTCCCAATGTCCTTTATTGCTTCACCTTCTGATGCATTGATTCTATGGTTCTGATCAATAGGGGTACCGATTGCCTTCATTCCAAGCTTCCCTGTCTCTTGAAGAAGATCCAARACATACTTCCTTTGAGAGATAAAAATTCCATGTTTTGATCTTGCAACTTCAATGACTAAGAAGTATCTCAGTTCTCCAAGATCCTTAAGTTCAAATTCTTTATGTAGATTCCTTTTCAGACAATTAATCTCACTTAGGTCATTCCCCATGACAACAATATCATTCACATAAACAATTAGGACTGACATCAAAGATCCCCTTCGCTTCACAAACAAAGTATGATCGGATTGAGTCTGAGTGTAACCAAAAGCAATTAAGGCCTTTATGAATCTGTCAAACCATGCTCTGTGAGATTGTTTCAAGTCATAAAGTGACTTCTTAAGCCTGCATACCTTTCCCTTTTTAGTATCACTGTAAAAGCCAACAGGAAGATCCATATACACTTTCTCTTGTAGATCCCCATTTAAGAAAGCATTCTTTACATCAAGTTGAAATAATGGCCAAGAGTATGAGGCAGCAAGAGAAAGAAGTATCCTAACAGAGGTAATCTTTGCAATTGGTGCAAAGGTCTCTAAGTAATCAATGCCATAGGTTTGTGTGTAACCTTTTGCAATAAGTCTTGCCTTGTACCTTTCTATATTTCCATTTGCCTTATATTTTACTGTGTAAACCCATCTGCATCCAACTATCACTTTGCCTTCTGGTAGATCCAAAATGTCTCATGTTTGATTCTTAATTAAAGCTGTCATCTCTTCTTGCATAATTGTCTTCCACTCAAGTTTGGAGAGACACYGAGTCAAAAGAGAAAAGAAAAACACGGTAGGAAGGAGAAAATCCACTGTAGGATAAGTATTGTGAAATACAATGAGCAGTACACTTTCTCTTCCTTTTTCTAAGAGCAATAGGAAGATCAAGGTTATCTGTAGCAGGGTTAGTAGAATCAATGGGAACTGAAATAGTAGCGAGACCAAGAGGAATACCTGAATCCATGTCAGTTGAATCTGTAGTCTCCAAGGAACCGACAGGAAGTGATGTGAGCTCTGTTGTAGTGGAATCAACCTCCTTATGAAATCTGTCGTAAGTAATGCTGAGACGCAGGACGCAAAGGAGGTGATAAGGTAAGTGACACAGGATGGCCAAGCACAAGAATAGACACAAGGACTGGAACTGGGAGAGGAATAGACTGCTAACTCACTTCCCCAAAACACTCCCCTTGAGAAGGATTCTTTGAGAAGAAATTGATTCAAAAAATGTGACATCCATGGTAACATACTGGCTCCCAGAGACTGGATCATAGCAATAATACCATTTCTGATTTTCTGCATATCCAAGGAAGACACACTTCTTTGCCTTGGGATCAAGTTTCGAGCAGTGATGACTAAGGATATGTGCAAAGCAGACACCCAAATACCTTGAGACAAATATGAAACATCTCCCCCTTAGGAAAAAGGAGACTGAATGGGGTGCTGAATCTAAGTATACGAGAGGGCACCCTGTTAATCAAATATACTACTGTGAGAACTGCATCACCCCAAAACCGAACTGGAACTGTAGATGTGATCATCATGCTTCTTGCAATCTTAACAATGTGTCTGTTCTTCCTTTCTGTAACACCATTATGATGTGGATTGTAGGGACAACTGCTCTGATGGATAACACCATATTCTAATAGATATGAGGCAAGGTGTTTTTCAAAATATTCCCTAGCATTGTCTAATCTAACACCTTTATTCTTGTTCCAAATTGTATTAGCACCATATGATGAAATTGCCTCACCAAGGATGGTACTTCATCGCGGGATCTCATTAGGTAAATCCAAGAGTATCATGAGAAATCATCCATAAATAAGAGAAAATATCGATAGCCTCCCATAGAAGAAACATGGTAAGGTCCCAACACATCCGAATGAATAACGTCAAAAGAAGAACACCTTTTATTACTAGGTTTAAATGAATGTTTACAATGCTTTCCAAATTGACAACCTTCACACTCCAGACTTGACAAACTAACAGACTCAAAAAGTTTTGGAAACAAAAGATTCAAAGAAGAAAAAGGTAAATGGCCCAAATGATTATACCAAAGCATAATTTGACCCACAGACCTTGACTCACTATCCCTGCTTACATGATGACTCTGATGAGGAGAAAGTACATCCAGGACTTAGATCCCATTCACTTTACGACCACTCCCAATCGTTCAGGTTCTTAATCAAACTACTAACAAATAACAAATTTGTGCTCAATTTGGGAACATGAAGGACAAAGGGTAGAGAAATAGAATTACTAATCTTGATAGATCACTTCCCAGCAATGGGAACATGGGATCCATCAGCTGTAGAGACCCTATCTCTACCAGGACAGAGCTGGTAAGAAGAAAAAATAGTGGAACTATGGGTCATGTGCTATGAGGCTCCAGAATCTATAATCCAAGGAGGTCCCTCCTTACCTGAAGTAGAAACATAATTTGCAGTGACGTGTGAACTACCTGTGTGAGTAAAGGAAGTAGAGTGGACTCCACCAGTGCCACCTGTACCTTGCTGTCTGCTTGCTGTTGAACTGGAATTAGCTGTATCTCGCTGGTTCAGAAGTTGCCCATACCTCCCAAGTTCGACCCTTGTAGCAACGGCAACAGAGTCCAGAGCAGCTATAGTAGGAGGGGCCAGAATGTCACCAGTAACTGCCATGTGTGCATTTCCCTTCTTATTTTTCAATCTATTCGGCACAAGATATGGGTGAAGCTTCCAGCAAGTATCTCTTGTGTGTTTAGGCTTCTTATAGTAGTCACAAATCAAATATCTTTTATCTTCCTTCTTGATTTCACTGCCACCCCGATCTCCACTTTGTTTAGGTTTCATAGTATTCACCATAGCAGATTGATCAGAAATAGGATTTTTCATCATATCTCTCCTGCTCTCCTCCCCTGGCACAAAGGCATGCTTGGGAGAGGGTAACACTGTCCCTGGAAAGAAGATGCTGTCTTGCAATATCATACTCAGGATTAAGGTCAGCAAGAAATTCAAACACCCTATACTTCTCTAGATGTTTCTGATAGGTAGTTGCATCCTTAGTGGTTTCCCAAGCAAATGTCTCCAAATGGTCAATCTCCCGCCATAGGGTTTTAAGGGCTGAAAAATAGGCTACAACAAGTCTATCTCCTTGCCTTGTAGAAATAATCTGATTTGTCAACTGATAAGCCCTAGTAACATTCTCCCTCTGTGAATAGGTTTCTGCAACCCCATCCCATATTTCCTTAGCTGTATTTGCCCATAAAAAAATTTTATTTATATGGGGCGACATGGAATTACACAACTAAGCCATCACCATATAATTCTCCTGTACCTACCAGGAGTTGCTAGTTTCGGGTTTCACTTCTTCACTAGTGATATACCCTAATTTCCCACGAGCACCAATGGCTATTTTTGCAGATTGTGACCATTCTAAGTAATTTGCACCATCCAACCTAACTGTAGTAATGGTTCCAGTCCTGAAAAGGTCTCCAACACCTCATTCCACTGGTCCCATTTCACTTCCGGGCTTATTTTCAACTCCGTGACCCTCCATGCTTCTAAAAAAAAGTAAAGAAAATAACTTAAATATGTAACAAGATCAAATAAAACACTTCTTGAACCAACAACACCTTTCTGGTGTCCTAAACTTTCTTCCCACAAAAGATTCCTTTTCTGTGGGACGGGAGAAGAGAGAGAAGAGGTAGCTGCTCTTTCTAGAAGCCTCCAAATCAGGCAGGACTTGAACCGCTCTTTATAGAAAACTCCAAAGGAACCCTAAAAAATTAGGGCGCCACTTCCTAGGTCAAAATTGAAGAATCCAACAAAAACAAGATTCTTTCCCTTTCTCTAGTTTTTCCTGATTTTGATGAGAAACCCTAGACCAGCTACAGGGCACACAGATCCACAAAAAAATCCAAAAACTGGGCTTACTTGAGAACTTCGATCAGCCTCTTAAATCACCATGTAGTCGGCTGATCTAGGGATGCATGAGTAAACAACCCAAGGAACCTTCGGCCGGCTCTGATACCAAGTAGAAATCACTGATTGCAGATTTAGTTGAATTTCTTGTGAAAGGAAAGAGAAGGAAAATAAAGACTTCAGCAATAGAGAATAAAAGAGTAGGAAGTCAACTAGGATTCTTTGATTAACCCTAGCCGCCAACCCCTCATTGTATTTATACTTAACTTAAAGGTTGAGATATTACAAGGATGCCCTTAGTAGGACGGCTACTAATGTAGCTGGACAATCACAACTTAAAAACATAAACTAATGGGCCTAAAGCCCAACAACTTCCTAACTAAATAACTTAAAATAAGAATAAAAACAACTAGGCCCAATTCAACACCTTGCATCCATCAAATCTAATATAAACATTCAAAATTTAGTTGTACACTAAATTTCATCTCTTAAGTGTAGTTAAATATGTGGAGTAGATGCACTGTAAATGAAGAAGAGATACTTAATTGGATTCAATTTGCAAACAACTCTGATAAAAAATGTCTGCTGAACATGTTTCACATTCAGTGATATCACTTTCTCAACAATTAACACCCAAAGTCTACCAAAATCAGTCCTTGTTGCTCACTGGAGTAAACTTCCATCTTTCTTAAATTTGTCAATCAATAAACTATTTGAACAAAATCTCATTCTGTTTGTAGACATTCAGATTGAATAGGACATATTATATATCAAATCCTGAATCCCAAACTAGCTGCAACAAGCCAAAACAAGACCTTCCCTTCAAGAAAAATCTTGAATGATATAGGGTCTTATATAAGGCAAATCATAAAATTCTCAAATTGAACTCAATGCCCTCTTGAATCCAAATAAGTAGAAATCCTGGTGGAATGATTAGTACTTGACATCTAATGCATTTCACTTAAGTCATGTGGCATAACATGTTTCACTTGAAACTGACTTAAAAGCAAATTGCAGCTCCACAGTCAAAAGCATCCCAAGGAGCAAACTACTGGAGACAAGAAAAATCTTGAATGATATTGGGTCCTTCTATAGAAGGTAAATTATAAAATACTCAAAGAACTCAACACCCTCTTGAATCCAAATAAGCAAACCAATGTGCATCAGAAATTTAGAAATCCTGGTGGAATAATTAATAGTTAACATCTCATGCATTTCACAAGTCAAAGAAATACCATTTTTCGCTTAATACTGACTTGAGAGCATACAGCAGGCCTGCATTAAAAAGAACCCAAGAAGCAAACTACTGGAGACCCATGAAGCAGCTCGTAACCTCAAAGATACAAAACCTGAAATACCTTATAAGAGTTCAGTTTATCCATCTGTTGAGATAAGGCCAAACAAATCTATAAATGGCATCAAGTTTCACATAGTACTAACTTAAGAGCCTTCTCATTTCAAGCACCATTTAATTAAGTGACCAAGTCAATCTTCTCAGTTCCCCTAAGTTAACCTTACAATGTCTGTCTCATCCTTGGAGCTAACCATCTTAAATTACCAATCTCAGAAGCAGTCAATTTCAAGAATACACATGATGCAGTGAATAAGCCAATCAGTTTTGAAGGGTCTTCAATAATCCAAGCTCTGCAATGTCTCATCAATGCTTTGAAATTCCATCCATTCATGAAGACAATGTTGTTGAAAGTACAACCAATATCCCTGAATAAGCTCCCAACTAATCAGTCCCAGGAGGTGTTGTTCTATAATCTAAGTCTCAGATGTAATATGTGAAGCACATCTAGGGATGAAACTTTGGAGTAACCACTTGCCAATTTACCTTTAATAATATGATCCTGAATCTCTCCCATTTAAATATCCATCATTCATACGACGACTATGGTAGAGAGATGAATATGAACCTGCACTGACCTGAATAAAGGGAAAGAAAGAGAGAAAAGAAAGAAACAGAGTGAGGATAACAGCTAACACTGGGGTCTTGAGGCCAAATAAATAAATGATTTTTATGAACAAAGATATATAAACCTACATCAGCTCCAGAAGGCATGTAATCTCTAGACATGTAATTCCTGCTATAGCTGGAGTACATTCCTCCTGCATCACCTCTGCTCACCTCCTCTGCAAGAACTATGCCTGGTGAAGACAACTCCCAAACTATGAACTAAGAGAGTCAAAATGCTGTAATTTCATACCTCTGCTATACCCCATACTTGATGAGCGTGACTCGTACAATCCATGAGAATTTCCTGCAGAACTCCGACTACCTCTATCATATCCTATATGAGAACTATGCCCCAGCCTAACATAATAACTACTGAGATCAGCCTACAAAGGGAATACGGCCAGAATGAAGAGACTGATGACGATAAATATGATATTAAGTGCAAATGGCAAACCTTGTAGGCTCATTTCCATAAGCACCATCATCGTATGGCAAAGAAGCACTGCTCCCTCCATAGTCAAATCGGGCTCTTGACTGCCTAAGTGTAGATTCAGCAAAACGAGGGTGAAGATCATCCTAAAAAATTTTGAGAAGAAATTGACAGAGAATATCAATAAAGGCCACCATCATTAATAAACAATTCAAGGGCTGCACTATACTTCATGGAATCACTAACCACTGCAGAATGAGGGCGTTTTGAACCAGAAAGAGAACCATATTCACGGCTATGGTTGTCACGGTAGCTTGAGGGTCGTTCCATTTGCCTTCCATAACTCTCTTCAGCATAAGGAGGAGGTGGTCTACGGTCACCACCACGGKAAGTGCTCTGAGGAGGACTATCAAAGTATCCTGATCCACGAGATGGATAAGCATCTCTATAGGAAGAACGCCTCTCAGGAGGTGTTCTAGTAAAATCAGATGATCTAGGGAAAGGTTCATCTTGTCTGATGTAGTCCCTTCTTGAGCTGCTCTTTCTGTAGGTTGGAACTGTTTGAAAGGGGAGGGGAGCGGAGGGTGTAATATGAGTTGTGGAGAAAATAATAATGAACTACAACAACATAATGTGAATAATGCTAATCAATATCAGGAGATACATACTTGGGGATCTCCTATCAAAGGACCTTTCTGGAGAAGGTAATCTTCTACTCCCAACTCTATCAGGGACTACATCCATAACTGGATGTCTATCCCTATAGTCAAAGGGCCTCTTAAAACTACCACTGTATGTGCTACGGCTTGGAATGGTTCGTCCACTGCGGCTTGAAAACCTCCAAGAGTCCATGCGGGATATACCAGAGCCCCAAGGAGCCTTTCCACCCCTACCACTACCACGCCCAACTAAATAGCCTCCTCGAGCATGTCTTGTTGACTTACCTCTTTGGCGTGGCCTTGAAAGCCTTGCCCTAACCTTAACCTGTAAATAAAATATGTATCTAAATGAATACTAAAGTATATGTATCATCAACATCCTGGAAAAACAATGTTTTTTTATTTAATTTGGAAAGTAATTTTCTTATATCCTCTGACATTAAAGAATTAGACTAGCAACCAACCTTTTTATCACCATCCCCAAGCTCTGTGTTGTTAAGACCTTCAACACAAGCAACTGCCACATCATGCGTGTCAAATGTTATAAAACCAAAATCTGTTCTTTTAGCTGCAGGCATATTCCGCGCAAGTTCAACCTTTTCAATCTTCCCAAACTTTTTGAGATGTTCCTTGACACGGTCCTCATCCCAGGTGGAAGGCAGACCATCAAGGAATATTGTCCTAACCTGAATAATAACAGTGAATGTAGCATCCTTAAGAACTTTAATTATTATTAGAATCCGCATTCCCTATTTAGACACAGGCATTGTAACCTTATGAGAAGGAATCTGGATTATGGTGATTTAACATTACCATTATGCATGACATACAACTATGTAGTACTGATGAATGGTGTGTCAGGATACCTAGTTCTACCTCTTATATCCTATTTTAAGGATTAAGAGGCAAGCTTTGTCAATCTTTACTGTTGTGCCTTTATTTTGATCAATAAATTCATGATTATGTTGCTGATAAAAAATGCATCACAAACGAAAGTATGCAGGACTCCCATTACACAATGTTGCATATGTTGGACACTTCATACTTGTATTACTTGAGAAAATTTATATTAATCATCAGAGAAAACCATCTACACCACCCATAAGAAGTGATCTTCACAAGTTGATGGGGCTAGAAGAGATGGGGGCAGACTAAGAAGGACCTGGGTAGAATAGTAAGAAATGATTTTGAGGGATCATAAAAGTGAACAGAATGGAATGGCAAAAGATAACGCATGTATCCAACCCATATAGTTCGTACAAGGCTTAGATGGTGATGATGATGATGATGATTAGAAGATATAAACAACGAACTTAATACCACCATATAGGAACAGAAACCGGTAAGAAATCATAAACCACACATGGCAGCTTGACTTTCTAACGTACTTGCACTAAAAGTAGCAAACTATTTCAACAGCTGCACAGAAATGCAGAAGGGAAGGATACGATGAATTCACCAGTTATAATATCCAGATATGCCTGGATCTGGTTTTTTACTTTCTTATACAAGAAAGCAGTGTCTTAAAAGTCCCCAAAAGAATTTGTGGAAAGAAAAAGGAAACCATTGGATCTGCATGAGGAGAAATTAATGTCAGAAACAATAACAAACCTGTGACATGATCTCATCATCTGGTTCAATAAAAGTGTCTGCAAAAGCAACCTTTGCTGTCCTATCTGTACCGAAAACAACATCCCTCTTCTGCAAACGCTTGCATGCATCCAATGCATCTCCCCTGGAAGAGAAATCCAGAAAGGCGAATCCCCGATTCATACCCTCATTTTTAGTGTCCTCAACCAATGTTAAATCCTCATAGTTGTCAACACCATAATGTGCAAGCTTTTCCTTCAGCTGTAGAAGAAAGAAAGTGATTGAACATAATGAAATCCATGAAGAAAAACTTGGGGTAGATAACCTGAGGGTCGAAGAGAAGTTACAACTGAGACAATAGTCCAACTGAATACAAATTCACCAGAAGGATTTGATCATTACTTACAGCTTCCTTTGTCCACGTCTTACATATGTTGCCAACAAACAGGGTGTCACTATCCTGACTAGGAGACACACCACACTGCTTGCCATTAACCTGACGGTAACGATACAGTTACACGTTATCATCTTAAAGCAAACCTCCTAGTACGCCAAACAGAAAAAGGAGCAGAATTAAAAAAAAAAAAAAAAACTTTTGTCAGAAATGGAAGGTGATGAGTACCATTGGATGTTTAAGCTCATTAACGGCTCGCCTAGCCTGCTCAACAGTTGCAAAGCGTAGGAAAGCAAAACCCTTGTTCTTCTGAGTTACCGGGTTCTTCATAAGTCTCACTTCAGTGACCTCACCAACCTGGCTAAAAACCTTTCTGAGATCCTCCTCGGTTGCATCTCGATCCAATCCTCCCACAAAGACCTCAAATTCTTTTCTTTTGCGTCGCTCCTTCACCACATCATGATGCTCCTCTTCCTCTACATCAACTTCCTCACCATGCATATCTTCTTCCACCTCCTCTTCCTCCCCCTCACCTTCCATGATTTCTTCCATCACGTCTTCCTCATCAATCCTTTCCTCTTCATGCTCTTCTTCCTCATCTTCCATCGCCCCTCTATGCTCTTCCATCTCTATATTCGGCCCGCCCTCGTCGTCCGCGTCAGACTGGGGGTCGTTATCTTCAAGCTCCAGTCTTTCCGATCGATCGACCTCGTGATAACTCAACGACACAAATTCCTTTTCTTTTTCGGGTGATGCTAAAAGATTTAAAGAAAAATACCAATTTTATTTTATGCTATTCATCTTTTGGTTCTTGGAGAAACAAAGCTAATTATTTAAAATATTATCTACAATCTTACATTTTCTCCTCTTCTTTCTCCGTTTCCATAGTTCATTCTAGGGCTTTGTAATTTTAGCTTCCTTTAACACGTTTTATCTTAAAATAACCAAAGAAGATGTAAAATTTCGACAAGAAAAAGGAGGAGGAAGAGGAGAGAAAATAACCTTTTGGAGGTGGAGAGGCTTCTCGGCGTTCTTGCTTACTAATGCTCTTGTATTCAATGCTATCAGTATCTTTAGCTTCCTCATTAATGTCGATGGAGATTTTCACTGGTGGTTTCTTCTTCGCTGCGGTGGCGGTGGACGGTCGTCTCATTGCGCGAGGCGGCATCGCCGGATTGAGTATAGCAGAACTGTAACGGAGCCAAAATCCAGAAATACCTTGAAGAAGGAAAGCTAAGCTAAGCTCTTCGCATCCAAGCAACAAGTTCGATCTATGAGATTGAAAAGTAATCTATTCGTTCTTTTTGACTGCTTATCTCCGTTGACTTGATGCGTGTATCTGACGCCGTTCACCCTTGCACTTCATATGGATCAACTACGTGGAACTGTGCAAGTTGAAATAAAATACGCTTTGCAGTAGACCCAGCGTGTTTTATGCGTAGACTCCGGAGCCCAATAGCTTCAGAGCTCAAAACCCTAGCTGTAGCAGTGTAAGAGTATCCCTTGTCGGCTTGTCCTTTGACACGTGGCTAGTATAGCCAATTGAAATCTCGTTGGGTCCATCTGTTAATCCACTTGGCGATCCTGTCTGTCGTAGACTTGCTTGACTGAGACTATACGAATCGTTACCACTACGAACGATTTTACTTTCGTACCAGATCAAAGGATCGAGTGATACTGGACCCTTCAATTTGGATATTTTTTGGACTTTTGATCCCATGTGTATCTCACTTCGCATCTACAATGAAGCATCACGGAATTCTTGGATGACATGACACTTTGGGTGAAGCCAAGTTATGAATCCGATTCCGGTACGTTATTCTTACGCAGGAAAAAGAAGAGCATCCGAGCCGTTCATTTAAGATGCACTTTATCGGAACCCAGCAAGACAATAGTGGGCGAATAATTTCCAATCGGAAAAGTTCGTTTCGCGTATCACGTGTGGTCGTGATGGGGACCAAAACTCTGCACACACTAAAAAGTATTTTAATCCAGTCGCACATGGGGAACATCTCCCATCCTATGAATTTAAGATACAATGTACGGGAGATATTCCCAATGTGTGACAGGATGTTATGTGAACAGCGTTTCTTTTTTCCCTTGTAGTTGCTGGAGATCCCGGGGTCCTTGTGGCCCAATGACACACGGTTATTACACGCGCAAGAAAAACGAACGCACGCGCGGGCTCGGCCGGCAGGTTGCGTAACTTGCTCCTTCCTCCCGCGTTCCGCGCGCTTATTGTAAGTCAGCGTGCTCCCTCCCAAATCTATATGGCTATATGCGATCAATCTAAACTCTAAAGCACAGACCGAAGGAGGAAAGAAGAAGAACAAGAGAGGCTAGAGAAGCTCCAATTTTATTCTTGAATCTCAGGTCGCACACCATTAATGGAGATCTCTCAATACCAATTGGAGATGAAAGATCGCAGACCGGATGCTCTTGGAGACTTGCGGGTCCTCCCCGACGAAGTCATCTGTTCTATCTTGGAGAATCTCACTCCTCGAGACGTCGCTCGCCTTGCATGTGTTAGCAGGTTTCTCTTTTTCACTTGGTTTCCTTTGTATTATTTTTTCTTTTAATTTCAATTGTAAATTGTTTTTTTCTTCTTTATCTCACTTTCGAAAGCAAAACTTCACACCTGGTTGGAATTGTTGTTGTTAATTTTTATTAGGTAGAATTATTATTGTTATTGCTGTTAGTATTCATTGAAGGGCACTTTCAAATAACATTGGCCACATTTTCCTTTTCTTGGTTTGGCGATGTCTCATTTCGTATTGAATCTTTGTTCTAACTGTTCTATCTAGTATCCTGAAGTCCACTACAAAGTTATAATGATTCTAAGTGCTCACATATCTTCTCCATTTGTATATCCATGAAGGACGGGTACTACTAATATTTTGCTAACTTGGCTCTATTCGTTTAGACCTGTTACTGCCTTTGAAAAGATGGTCTTTTGTTCTACAGAATTCTCTTTTTTTTTTTTTAATGTGCTATAAAATTGTTGAGGTGTGGTAGAAGAGTTAAAACTAATGAACTCCGAAGTCAGGCTATGGAGACTAGGTTTGCACCCTAGATTGTATTTGGTTTGAAATCTTCCTTAAAGTATGCTCTGAAAAGGTTATGATTTACGTTGTTAAGCTGATAAGAAAATGTTTGTACATCATAATCCAATCAGTTGTTGCTGGAATGCCTTGAGGAATAGCTCTGAGGTTTGAGGTATTTTTTTGATGAATAATAATAAATTTATTGATTCGGAAGTAAATTTAGAGTGAGTTCATACATCATCCCAGCGAGAGGCGCAAGCTGCAGCCCCTCCTTGAATCTTACAAGTAAACTAGGAAAGAAAAACAAGTATCACAACCGAGCCCAAAATAATTCTTCCCCATTTACCCCTTGCTTAGCTAACACATCTGACAAAGTATTTGCTGATCTCCCCACCCACTGTACAGTGACCAACATATTCCTTRTCAACCAACTGAATTTCTTCATTTCATTCTTGTATCGCTACATAGCCTCTTCAGAATTTTTCAACCAACCCACCACCACTTTGG